TTCTGGATATGGCAGCTAAACCTAGTTCAGAGAGATCACTCTGTGAAAGAAGTGATTATTAAGTTGATATTTTAGATAGCTTGGTATGAAAAATTATAATGGGGATATGAACATCATTAGGATTGTAGTAGCAAAGTAATAGGAGGGAAAAATCAATGAGCTTCTTTTTTGTTTTAGGGAGATAAACTTAGAAATATATGTAAAACAAGGGAGACTGGTGACTGAGAGCAATTGATAAGAGAAAATTTATTGCATAGGAGGAAAAGATCTCAAAAAAATGGGTTAATAAATGCAGTAGAAACTCAACAGGTCAACCAATCCTTGTGGAGAAAGCGTCTGAGAACTGCTGACCTTATGAAGTCAATGAAGTAAATATATCAAGTATCCACACCTACATGGTCATGTCTCTTCTACTCTCAGAATTATTGCTGGAAAAGAATCAAGGGCAGGAGAAAGGGACAGACACTTGTTCTCATGTCCTTGGTAAGGCAGCAACATAGGAAGAATGCCTGGCCTTAACCATCACCAGAGGGATTGGACCTACCCAAATAGGGAGGAACAAAGTCAACAGTAGGTCCCAAGGCTGTGCGCTCTCTACAGAGGCAGCCTCGGGGCTAGGAAGTAAGGAATCTGGACAAGTGCTTGAAAAGCCTTGTCAGTCCTTTGAGTCTAGATTGTAATTTTCTTAGAAGAAAAATAAAATGCCATCTGGAAACCCTTGGAATGAGCAAGATCGGGCAGAATTACAAATCTTTATGTTACAGCCCCCCCCCTTTTAAATGCTTCCTTGTTTGTTTTTTCTAAGATTTTATTTGAGAGAAAGAGAGAAAACGAGTTGGGGGGAGGGGCAGAGGGAGAGGGAGCAGCAGACTCCCCACTGAGTAGGGAGCCCCATCCCCATCCCAGGACCCTGAGATCACGACCTGAGCTGAAGGCAGAGGCTTAACCGACTGAGCCACCCAGGTGCCCCTAAATGCTTCCTTGTTGCTTCTCCATTCATTTCCATTTTGTTGTATCTTAGCATCTAGAAACATTTTTTGGATTTTTTTTTTAAAGCTTGTCTCAGCTGTGCTAAGGAAGAGTAAAGAAAAATACTTAAAAAATTTTATTGTGAAGAATTCCAAACACATACAAAAGTACTGTGTTAACCCTCCCCACCCTGCCCCAAACACACATCACGTCACTTACCTTAACCTAGTTACCAACACAGGGACATCTTTTTTTTTAAAGATTTTATTTATTTATTTCAGAGAGAGAGAGAATGAGAGATAGAAAGCACGAGAGGGAAGAGGGTCAGAGGGAGAAGCAGACTCCCTGCTGAGCAGGAAGCCCGATGTGGGACTCGATCCCAGGACTCCGGGATCATGGCCTGAGCCGAAGGCAGTTGCTTAACCAACTGAGCCACCCAGGCGCCCCACAGGGACATTCTTGTTTCCACCTTTCTCCAGTCCACACTCCATTCCCCAGTGGACTATTCTGAAGCAAAAGGAGAGACATTTTGATCCATCTGTAAGAGAAATTTTTCAAGAGGGGATCATGCACTTTGGTGGTAGAATGATGGTTGTATCTGAAATCCAAACTGGGGGCAAAACCAACCACTCTTCTGTATTCTGAAACTGATAATTCCTTCCTGGTGCTAAAATTTACTTTGGAAGACATCAGTTTCCTGATCAGCAAAACAAAGAAAATGGACTAAATTATAGGCAGTTGTGTGACAGTAAAGTGTGACTTCGACTTTGAGTTAGAAGACCTGGCTTAAGAGTGCCAGCTCTGCCCCCTCCAAATTACATAATTTATAGTAGTTTATGTCAGCAAGTCACTTAACCTCTCTGAGCTTCTGGAACATTTATAAAAACGGTCTTCATGGGACTTTGGTTGGAGTAAGTAATGTATTATGAGAACTTTTGTGAATTGGAAAGCACTATATAAATTAGGTATTATTGAGTTCTTCAGTTAAGTAAAAGACAACTCAGATTTGAGTCTGCAAATTAGAAAAACATTGACACAATTGACAGAAAAGGAGAAGCTGAAAGGCACAATTTAATCCAAATGGAAGCTTGTAATGAACACAGGGGTTGATACAGGGCTAACCATCAGGTCCAAATATTTATTTTAAATAGCTATTATGCTAATTAACAGGAAGTAGTGACACAACCGCTTTACCTTCACTACAATCAATCTTCATTTTTCTCCGGCTTCTTCTCATTTTTATCCAGCTATAGCCAAACACTATTTATTAAGTATATATTATGTGCTGGGCACTGTGTTAGGCCCTGGGAATACAAAAAGTAATAGTAAAGTAGGCAGGCCTCCAAGATGCTCGGATTAGGAAGGGAGTGAAGCTTATAAGCAATCACAATGGAATGTAATAAGAATTTAGGCTGTGATAAAAAAAAATGCAATCTTCCCATTTGCAACATGTGGATGGAACTAGAGGGTATTATGCTAAGCGAAATATATCAGAGAAAGACAAGTATCATATGATCTCACTGATATGAGGAATTTGAGAAACAGGATCATAGGATCATAGGGGAATGGAGGGAAAAATGAAACAAGACGAAACCGGAGAGGGAGACAAATCATAAGAGACTCTTAATCTCAGGAAACAAACTAAGGGTTGCTGGAGTGGAGGGGGGTGGGAGGGATGGGGTGGCTGAGTGATGAACACTGGGAAGGGTAGGTACTATGGTGAGCACTGTGAATTATGTAAGACTGATGAATCACAGACCTGTACCCCTGAAACAAATAATACATTATATGTTAATAAAAACTTTTTTTTACAGATTTAGGTTGGGACCACAGTGTTTGCATAGAAATCATAGGGTGTGGTCAGATTTTGTTCCACTTTTAGAATATATGTGTTTCAGAGTCACCAATAGGCAGGTGACTCCTAAAGCCTTCATGATTAGCCTACCAAAGGAGAAGCTGTAGAGAGATTAAGGGATGAGCTTCTTCTACACATATAGGCTGGGGAGAAAAGTGCTATCAAAAAAAGACCAAGAAAGTGTATTTGGAGAGGTAGAAAAAATGTTACCCAGAAGCTTAAAAAAATAAGAATTAAAAAAAAAAAGAATTCCTGAGGCGCCTAGGTGGTTCAGTCGGTTAAGCATCTAACTTCTACTCAGGTCATGATCTCAGGGTCCTGGGATGGAACCCTGGATGGATGGAGCTCCCTGCTTCTTCCTCTCCCTCTGCCCATCCCCCCTGCTCGTGGGTGTGTGCTCTCTCTCTAACATACAAAATCTTTATTTATTTTTAAAAAAGATTTTATTCATTTTAGAGAGAGCAATAATAATCTTATATGATGTTTAATATATGTCGGGCACTATTTTTTTTTTAAGATTTTATTTATTTATTTGAGAGAGAAAGAGAGAGGTATCAGGCACTATTCTAAGCATTTTACATGTATCAGCTTGTTTAATATATGAGCCATGGCATGATTAAGTAATTGGCCCAAGGTCACCCAGCTAGTCAACTGGGAGCAGGATTTGAATCCAGTTTCTTTTTCTTTTTTTTTTTTTTAGATTTTAATTTGACAGAGAGACAGCCAGAGAGGGAACACAAGCAGGGGGAGTGGGAGAGGGAGAAGCAGGCCTCCTGCCAAGCAGGGAGCCCGATGTGGGGCTCTATCCCAGGACTCTGAGATCATGACCTGAGCTGAAAAGTTTCAAATTCTGTGCTGTTCAAATTGTACCTGAGAATAATACAACATGACAGTATTTGGGGGTGGGGATGAAAACCTGCTTATGCTGAGTAACAAAAGGCACTCAACCTTGACACTTACCCTTTAGCTTACCTTAAGGTGGATATCACCCATCACCCTAGAATCTAGTATATGTTCAACCTGAGGGCAAAAGGCCAAAATGAAATAACATTGACAAAGGGATCTAAGTAGAGGTTTGTATTGCCTGCGCCTCCCTTTTTGGACATGCTTTCTTGTCTGTCCAGTTCCGGGAGTGGTGCTACCAATAATCGGGCACCAATAGCCCGGTGGTTTTTCTCAATAGTCATTCATTCAACAAATATTTCAGCATCAGGTCAGGTCCAGACATTGTGCTAGGCCCAGAAGTGAACAAGACAGACAAGATCCCTGCTTTTTTAAAAAAAATTCATTCTAGTGCGGGGTGCAGGGCGGGGAAACAAGTTCTTGTAACCTGGCGGGAGCAAGGTCAGCCAGGGGAAATGCGAAGAGATTAACTGAGAGAAGCAGCGGAATCCGGAACAGATGAGGTCTTCAAGCCACGCACGCAGGAGTCCGCATTTTACTTATATCAATTAAGCGCTGATGGCCAGATTGCACCAGACCGTAGACTTCTTAGACCACTTAATCCTGTCGATCCAACCTTCACAACCCCCCATTTGTGCCTGTCGAGTCTCCTGGCCACTCTGGTTCCCTTAGCCTATCAGGCCACCTCAGGTCTAGGTCAACTCGTCCCTAACTGCTGGTCACCGCAGCCCCCGCGGTCATCTTCTAGAGCCACTTGGACCCATTGAGGCCTGTCCGCCCGTAGATTTCCCCCAGCGCTGGTCCCCCTGGGCCCCTCGGCCAGCCAGGTCACCTCAGTGCCACGCCTCCAAGGCCAGAGATTAGGCATGCACATTATGCTTTGTTCGCGGAGCAGGTTTTCGAAAAGCCGCTCCCTCTCGACTCCAGCTGTTTCCCTGCAAGAGCGGGCGAGCCCACAGCGGCAGCGCCCCCGGCGGCGCACCGCAGCCCAGGAAGGGAGTGGCTGCAGCCACCACCTCCGCCTCCTCCGCCACCCCCGCCTCCTCCGCCACCCCCGCCTCCTCCGCCTCCTCCGCCACCCCCGCCTCCTCCGCCACCCTCGCCTCCTCCGCGTCCTCCCGGAACGCGGGAGCGGCCGAAAGCGGCGGACGCCCCGACCGTCACGACCGTGCTCCTGATTGGTCGCGCCTCGTGACGTCACGGGGAGGGCCCGGGCGGCAGCTGGGAGCCAGAGCCCGCGCGTGCGCAGATCGAGCGCACTGAGCGGAGGGGGGAGGTGGCCGGCCGCTTCTCCCGCGTCCGCCATTTTGTTGCTGTGGCTCTTGGGAACGGGCTGGGCAAAACCGCCCCGGAGGCGCGACGCTCCTGGGAGTCCGGTGCTTCGTGTGGCGGCGGGGGTCCTTGCAGAGCCGTGGGGGGCGCGGAGTCGGCGCGTTCCGGGCCAGGAGTGACTGGAAGCACCGCCGGTACGCCGGGCAGCCCGAGAATCCCGGGGCGGCCTCCGCTGCGGCTCGGCTTCTCCCGCCCAGATCTCGGGCTGTGCCCTGCATTCCCCGGGCCGGCTCCCTCCGTGAGGCGGCCCCGGAGCAGGCGGGCGGCGGCGGAGGATGCTGCGGGCCCGGAGCCGAGAGGAAGGTGCTGGCTCGGCCCTCTAAGCGCGCTTCGAGGTGAGCCAAGAGGCCCTTCCTTGGCCGCAAAGCCGTCTGTTGGGCAAAGGCGTCCAGAACAGACGAGAGCAGCCACCGCCCCGATCCGCCGCAGAGCCCCGGTCCGACACGATGTCCTCCGCCAGGTTCGACTCCTCAGACCGCTCCGCCTGGTACATGGGGCCGGTGTCTCGCCAGGAGGCGCAGACCCGGCTCCAGGGCCAGCGCCACGGTATGTTCCTAGTTCGCGATTCCTCCACCTGCCCCGGGGATTATGTGCTGTCTGTGTCCGAGAACTCGCGGGTCTCCCACTACATCATCAACTCGCTGCCCAACCGCCGTTTTAAGATCGGGGACCAGGAGTTTGACCACTTGCCGGCCCTGCTGGAGTTCTACAAGATTCACTACCTGGACACCACCACCCTAATCGAGCCCGCGCCCAGGTACGCGAGCGCCCGCGCTGCCCGGGCGCACAGCCCACTCCTACCGCGGAGGAGGGTCGAGAATGCCAGGGCTGGTTCGCTTGGGATCGATCGAAGAGTGGGGGGTGGAGGTGTGTAATTGAACCCTTTTTACCCCATTCTGAACCAAATTCTTTTCCAGAAGGCATTCTGAACGGAAGGCTAGTGTCAGGATCTGGGTCACTGGATGAGGGGATGCGTTTTAAACATGTTTAACGGCGGTTCATAGTTAAAATGCCCGCTTTTTGCCTTTCGACACGTTATCTATTGGGTTATCCTACTAAAGAAGAGTTTTTGTTTTTTTTAAACCTTTTTTGGACCACAGACTTCTTTGAGAATCTCAAGGAAGCCATGGCATTTCCCCCTCCCTAAAAATGCGCGTACACACAACTTTACACACCGTTCAAGGTTCTTGGGCTCTCTGGTCCAGTTTAAGAACTCTTGGACTGCAGCCTTTTGGAACTAACAGCCGACAAGTGAAAATGCTTGCACGTTTAGATACAAAACCTTTAAAAGTAAAATATCAGAACTATATATTGATACCTTGGTGCCAAGTTTGAATTACACCAGACACCTTTTGTTTTATAATTACAGAAATTTTAAAAGAAGATGCACTGGCTTCAGCGAGGACATATTTTTGAGTTTTTATATTATAGTTAACCCCCAGGCTGGACCACTAATAGGCCAGAAATCTATTTAATTCTAAGGAGGAATAAAGCTAAAATGTTAATTACTAAAGGAAATATTTGAGCTACACTTTAATTCTATCCTAGCTTAATTTTAGATGTACATTTTGTACATCTGTAAGTCTTAATGATTAAGTAGTTAAGCATCCAGCATCCTCTTTTCCAAGTAAAATGCATTATTTTATTCGATTATTTACTTTAATTTGTCTTCAGTGTTTTATCACGTTTCTTTTATTTAAATTATGCCAAATTTGAACTGAAGAAATTGCCTGGAATTTTTTTAAATGAAAGGTATTTTACTGCCCATTTTGCTTCTTGAATTTCTGTTTTAAAAGGTTAGGGTGCTCATTTTTGGAATGAGTTGTTTTTGATTTTATAGATTTGCTGAGGTGTTCCTTTGAGCTTTAACCATTAAAAGCTATAATAATTAAGGAGCACCCAGTGGATGCGTTAAGTGTTGCTTCCGTGGAATAAGAGAGAAGAAACAAAGCCATGACAGTATAATGACTGTAAGATTAACGCTGAACTAAATGGACTTTAAAAACTGAGAGAAAGGGACGCCTGGGTGGCTCAGCTGGTTAGGCGACTGCCTTCAGCTCAGGTCATGATCCTGGAGTCCCGGGATCGAGTCCCACATCGGGCTCCCTGCACAGCGGAGAGTCGGCTTCTCCCTCTGATCCTCCCCCCCTTCATGTTCTCTCTATCTCATTCTCTCTCTCAAATAAATAAAATCTTTAAAAATAAATAAATAAAAACTGGGAGAAAGTGATTATAAATCAAATAGTGTATAACAAAGACCTAGGCACCAAGAATCTGATTAGTGAAATCTCCAGGCCCCCAAAGATGCTGGTAATTGGAGTCAACTTTGAGCACAGTATATTCTGATATAAGGGGTTGGAGAAAATATTAGAACCAACTATGAGATTTTTAGTATGTTTAAGTGAATTCTCCAACTCTTGGAGGTGAATTAATATCATTAATTTCAGGCATTTATTAAGCCATGCTATGTTCAAGGCATTGTGCTTGCTTTGAGGTGACACAGGTATTATAACAACAGCTGTTTCAGAAAATGTTAGTAAATGGTTTGATCTACTTCTAGAGAGAGAGAGAAAGGAGTATGCTGCAGTAGCTTCCCATTACCAACAAAAACAACTCCACATTTTTCATACATGTGTCTTTTCAGATACCAGACATAACTTTCTGTTTTGAATGCCTATCCTCCCCCCACTCCCCACCTTGTTCTTCCTTTAGTGCAGTTCCGCTAGGCAACTCATTTAATCCCTGGTAGCCATCCCTGCCTACTTTCTCACACCTTTGTACCTTTGCTCCACCTGTTGGCTGGGCTGCTGGCTCTAGGTTGACTGCTTAAACCCGCCCCCCACCCCCACTCCTCACCTATTGAAATTGTAACTGCTGTTCCAGGCCCCTCAAATAATAGGGCCTTTCCCTCCCACTTACACGAAGCTGTAATTGTTTCTCCTCTTCACTCTCTGCCCCAGGCATGTTGTTGTAATTTAGGTTTTTATTTTCTGTTGGTATCTCGGAGGACGATCACAATTCTGGTTGAATTAGATCCGGACTGGATTTTCTTTCTTAATCTTTGGATTTTCTCCCCTGAGCCTGAAATTCGAAAATTGGTTTGATATGTTTTCAGCCTTTGTAGAAAACTGGAGGTACCCTGTAAAGCCTTGGCCAAATGCAAGTCAGTTTACTGCCTCTTCACACCCCAAACAAGATATATTAAGTGGTTTAGGCATCAAAACTGAGCTCTTAAGGCCAGAGTTTCGTGCCCTTTAGCTAAAAGTTCATGTTTTGTTTTATTTTGCTTAGTGAAAAATTATAACTATGACTTCCTCAGAATTTAAGGACTGGTGCTTCTTTTTTAGTCTGATCTTTTTTACTGGAATATTCCTCAACATTTATATTTTTTTAAAAGATTTATTTATTTTGAGAGCGAGAACAGGAGAGAGAGCATGAGCTGGGGGAGAGGCAGACTCCCCCCTGAGCAGGGAGCCCAGTGTGGGGCTCTATCCCCAGACACTGGGATCATGACCCAAGCCAAAGGCAGACACTTAACTGACTGAGTCATCCAGGCACCCCTAGTTTTATATTTTTATTCAGATATTTACAAGAGTTATATCCCAGTGATGGGGACTGAGAACAATGGATGGCAGACATACTTTCTCCATAACAGAACTTCTGTTTTATTGAAAGAGACAAACTAAAAGTAGGAAAATAAATAAAATACAGGATTAATAAATGCTATGAAGGAAATGAAGCTGAGCAGAGAGAATATAATAGGAGGGACCTACCTGATATAGTGTGGTCAGGGAAAGCATGAAGCTACCCAAGGGTAGGGAAGAGGCAAGCCTTGGGAAGGCCTGGGCTAAGAAGTGGGGGAAGAGCCTTCCAGTCATAGGAAAGAGCTTACACAAAGTCCTGAGGTCAGGAAGATAGCCATTGGTTTGGGAGTGTGGTACTTAAATAAAGGGGTTCTTTTTTTTTTTAAAGATTTTATTTATTTTTATTTGAGAGAGACAGAGAGCACGAGAGGGAAGAGGGTCAGAGGGAGAAGCAGACTTCCCGCTGAGCAGGGAGCCCGATGTGGGACTCGATCCCAGGACTCCAGGATCATGACCTGAGCCGAAGGCAGTCGCTTAACCAACTGAGCCACCCAGGCGCCCAAATAAAGGGGTTCTATGAGAAGAGTTAGGAGATGTAATGGTCAAGATAAGGAAATTGGATTTTATTTAAAGTGCAGTGGCTGCCATGGAAGGAGTTTGAAGCACAGGAGTGATGTGGAGTTGTCACTGTTATTTGGGTGCAAAATGATGGTGGCTGATGACATATATGTCACAGGTCATATAGACTGATGTAGAGCTGTGACTTGGAGGTGTCTGTTTTGGGAGTTAAGATTGATGTTGCTGATGGGAGGGGGGATGGTGAGGGAAGAGAAAGGAGGAAACAAAGATGACTTGGTACATTTGTAACTTTGTGTCCTCTCAGTTTATCTTATTAATTGCTTTTTGTATTTGTGGTGTTCCTGTGGTGGGTTTTATTTTTATTTTTTAAAAGATTTTATTTATTTATTTGACAGAGAGAGCACAAGCAGGGAGAGTGGCAGGCAGAAGGAGAGGGAGAAGCAGGCTCCCCCCAGAGCAGGGAGCTCGATGTGGGACTTGATCCCAGGACCCTGAGATCATGACCTGAGCCGAAGGCAGACGCTTAACGACTGAGCCACCCAGGCGCCCATGTGGTGGGTTTTAAATTTAACCCCCAAAAAGTGTCATATCGTATCATATGGCTTTTGTTGATTTTCAGTGATTCTAAAGGATTCTCTTTCAGCATGTGGGTGTAATTTTTTTTTTAAAGATTTTATTTTTATTTATTGGGGGGGCCAGTTCCGGAGAGGAGCAGAGGGAGAGGGACAATGAGACTCCGTGAGGAGCCCAACGAGGGGCTTGATCTCAGGACCTGAGTCGAAACCAAGAGTCGGACACTTAACTGACTGAGCCACCCAGGCATCCTAGATGTAGGTGTAATTTTTTTTTTTTTAAGATTTTATTTATTTATTTATTTGGCAGAGAGAGAGATAGTGAAAGAGGGAACACAAGCAGGGGGAGGGTCAGAGGGAGAAGCAGGCTTCCCGCAGAGCAGGAACCCAATGCGGAACTCGATCCCAGGACCCTGGGACCATGACCTGAGCCGAAGGCAGACGCTTAACGACTGAGCCACCCAGGTGCCCGTAGGTGTAAATTTTATATTATAGTTGATCTGATAAACAAAACCTGTGGTGGTTTTCACCTCTGATTTATTTGAGTATAAATATTTTTAAGATTCTGCTCATTAAGTTAATATTTAGGTAAGTGCTAGTGTTTTTTAATTTAATGGAGTTGATTTCCAGTTTAACAACAGAATGTTTCAGAAGGTTCTTAGGTGGATTGTTTATTTATTTATTTATTTTAAGATTTTATTTATTTTTTTTTGACAGAGACAGCGAGAGAGGGAACACAAGCAGGGGGAGTGGGAGAGGGAGAAGCAGGCTTCCTGCGGAGCAGGGAGCCTGATGCGGGGCTTGATCCCAGGACCCCGGGATCATGACCTGAGCCGAAGGCAGACGCTTAACGACTGAGCCACCCAGGCGCCCCTAGGTGGATTGTTTAAATATGAAATCCATTTTCCTGTGGTTTAGAAGCTGTGTTTTGCATAGCTTGCTTTGCTTATATAATTCTCTAGTTTTGAAGGCTAGGAGAAAAAGCTGAGAAGTAAAGTTTTTTAACTGAGGCAAGTGGACCC